GCATGAAGGTGGTTCCCGTTCGGAATGGAGGATTACAAGTTTAGAAGCATTCCAAACCGATCCATCACTGAGCTTAAATGCTCTGGATCCCACTGCAGACATAACAGCAAACGTACCTCTATACTTGTGTTTTTTCCCTGGAACATTTACTATGACTCTCTGGCCAACCTGAATGACTGAAGGTTTGGCTCCTCACTTCTCATCGACATAATTCTTCAAGTAATTCTGCCCATGAAAAACTCGTGTCCTTATGGTATTGTCCGAAAATGACTGCAAAGTAGACGGCAATGGCAGATCAGTTACGTCAACCGCTGTGTGAGGTTGACGCTTATGAAGCAACATCGCGGGAGGCGATCCCGTAGTTGCCTGAGCAGGAAAACGGTAAGTACCTAAGTACTTCGTAATTGCCTTCTTTAGAGGACTTTGTTCTTGTTGGGCTAGTTGAATGTACTCTTTCAGGACCCTGTTGAACTGCTCAACCTGCCCATTGGCCTGAGTGAGGATAGTAGTTGGAAGAACAGAGGTGTTGAATACCTCGTTCAAAAAAGAAAAGTTTCAAACTGACTAGATTTAAACTGGTGGTCATTGTCTGTTACTAAGCATGCTGGAAAACCCTTCACTGCAGAAGACTGAAGTCGAAAAGGTGATGACTGCATCAGACGTAACGTCTCGAACGAAACAAACCTCAGGCCATTTGGAGTAATAGTCAATCAAAGTGACTGCAAAGCGACAATCTGAGGGAACATTTGAAAGAGAATCAATGATGTCCATGCCTAAGTTCTCCCACGGTTTCTCAGGAAAAGGAACTGGTTGTAGGGGTGCAAAGACAGGTTCCACAAATTTGTCGGCAGCCTGACAGATGCAACAGTTCCGAAACGCACTTTCCACTTGTTTGTCAAGGCACGGCCACCAATTCCTGTCACGAAGCAGCTGCTTTGTACGAATTATGCCTGGATGATTCTCATGGGCTAACTGAATCAATTGCCCCCTGCAAGTTTCTGGAACTGTAACACGTTCCCCACGAAAAATGAGCCCATAAGCATAAGACAGTTCGTCTTTCACTGCAAAGTAAGGTACAAGTACTGAAGTCAAATGCTTCTTTGGAGGCCGGCCCTCAGCGATGTATTGAATAAGCTGCTGGAAGGTACCATCATTAGCAGTGGCTGCCTGCAACTTGTGCTTATTTAAGCATGCAGCAACTAAAGAAATTATCTCTTCTTCTGGCACCTGTGCTGGCAGAAGCTGGACTGACAGCCGAGATAATGCGTCTGCTACGACATTATTGGCACCTTTGCAATATTGTACAAAAAAGTTACAACATCCGGGCGCACCATCGATAAATTCACAAGGGGCGTCGCCCCACCGCGCTAGCTGACAGCAAAGTAGTTGAAGCCTGGTGGTCAGTTCGTAATGTAAAATGCCGACCCCAAAGATACACATGCCATTTTTATGCCGCAAACACACAAGCAAGAGCTTCGCGCTCCCCTGCCGAATACCGGCGTTCCGCACGGGACAATGTTCTAGATGCAAAAGCAACAGTTAGCAGCTGATCTCCTCTCTGTTGTTCTGGATACCGACATTGAATGCATCGGTGGTAACCACCACCGGAAGATTGTTACAAAAAATATTTATGGCGGGGCGGTCAGCAAGTCGTTCTTTAACCTGTGTGAAACTAGCATTGGCCTCAGCGGACCACTCAAAAAAATACTGACCTTGTTGGACCATGTGGTGCAGAGGCTCAACAGATTCAGCCTAATGCGGTAGAAACTTTGCATAATATCCAACTAACCCCAAGAAAGATTGGAGTGCTTTAACATCAGTAGGAACAGGGGCATCGAGAATGGCAGCAACCTTAAACTCAACCTGCGATAACTCGCAAGCACTTATGTTATGACCTAAGAATGCAATTTCAGTAGCAGCAAATGCACACTTGTCGTTAAGCTTCATGCCGCAGGAATCTATTTTAGACAAGACACTTTTTGAGTGCACGTCATGCTCTTCCCAATTACGACCCCAAACTAAAATGCCATCTAAGTAACAGACGACGCCTCGGCACCACTTCAGTAAATCGCTTGTAATTTTTTCGAAAATAGCTGGCGCAGATGCCAGCCTGAAGCACACTCTGCGAAATCTGTAAAGCCCCTGATGCGTTACAAAAGTAGTAAGGTCACGACTCGCCTCCGCTAACTTAACCTGGTGGTATGCTGATGCAAGATCAAGTTTAGAAAAAATTTTAGCACCTGTTAACTGTTGTAAATGTTCCTCAATGTGAGGTCGAGGGAACCCGTTCATTATAATGGCCTTGTTTGGCTCACGAAAATTGACGCACTGTCAGATGGAATTGTCCTTCTTGTGGACGACGACCAACGGAGACACCCAGTCTAAAGCATCTACCCTCTCAATGATGCCAGTAGACTCTAGTCGTTGTAGCTCATCGACAACTTGTTGCCTCGGCGAAAAGGGAAGACGTCGCAGTTTGGCCGCCACTGGCTGCACACAAGGTTGATGCTTGACACTGTGAACGTAATTTCGGACGGTGCCGATGTCCAATAAAAACAGGTGGTGATGTTCCGGTGGCACATTCACCGGAACAGCCGAGGAGTCGACGAGAGAACAGGGTCTCACCTCTGATGATTATTTTCAGAGCTCGGATGGCATCTAATTTCACGAGCGAGATGCCTTTGTCTGTGACGTAGAAGGGAATCGTGGCGCGGTTGCCGTTGTACGAGACTGTTGCCTTGAAATAGCCATGATTTTTTATGGCTTGTTCTGAGTAATTCTGTAGAATTAGATGCGAAGGTAGCAACTTGACATGCGAAAAGCTCCTCTTATAATCTTGGACGTTGAGCAATGACACAGCTGCCCCAGTGTCGATAAGCATGTTGAAAGTGGATCCATTGATTCGTATGGGAAGATGCAAAAGTCCAATAGTGGCGACCGTTTCGTCCACTTGCAGGACAGTAACTGTATTGGTCACCGTCGATGTGCATTGATGACCGGTCGACTCCGTAGTAGTGCAGCAGACTCGCGCCAAATGTCCACGACATCCGCACCGTGAACACGTCTGGCTCCTGGCAGGGCAAGCGGAGGAGTTGGCCCAATGCTGCGTCGACCCGCAGCGGTGGCAAGCACCCTCGCGAGCCGGCGGCGAAGCTGGAGAGGTGTCCGCAGCAACGGAGGGCGAGGAGGTGCACGCAGGAGAAGTCCCGCCGGCGCCATCTTGCACCGAAGCTTGGGGAGGACGGCCGCCATTTGGCCTGGCATCTTGAATTGCTCGGCGAGCTGAGCTGCTATCATGAATCAGACGCGACGACACTGCATTGACTTTCGCCCCAGATAACTGTAGCAACGCTCGGTTGACGCACTCCTCCTCTCTTGCTATGTCCAACGCTTTTTGTAGTGTGAACGCCTTACCCATCTTGAAAAAAGTTCTTTGGAGGTGCGCAGACGCGATGCCAGAGACGATCTGGTCGAAAGCGAGGATATCGCCCACCGCGCCGAATTCGCAAAGCTTGGCTACTCGGCGTACTTCCTGTATAAATTCTACCGCTGACTGGTCTGGGCCCCGACGCAGGGCTTTAAAGTGGGTGCGCAGACACACTGCATCCGGTTGAGGGTCTAAGATTTCATTAAGCAGCGCAAGGGCTGCATCGTACTCGTTTGTACATGTCGTCTCCTGAGTTGGCCGGTCAGATCCCGACTGCTGCTCATCTTCGGTGGCAAGCAAGTAAGTGCTGAGTTTCTCGATGCCCAAGGCGTTCAGGAGCAGCGCCTTTTTGTGCTCCGGCGTGGCGCCCCTGGCATTGGCGTCAATGTAAACCTGTAACACAGGACACCACTGCCTCCATGGAAGGAACGGAGGCGGAGGGATAGCGTTCATGCTTGCCGAAGAGAGTGTCGAAATGGCTGTTCAGGAGAGACACGCACGTAGGTAGGCCTCATGACCGCACTGGCACGGAAAGTGTAGAAAAGTAGAATAGATGCAGGGAATACAGTAGCGGTGGGACAGCTTGCACGGGTGCCGAGTCCACAGCTTGAGGAAGAAGGCTTGAAGCCCACCTTGACGCATGATACACGTGGATTGACGATTCTCGTCGCCAAAATGTAGTATCGTGTGGCGCGTCCGCTGCATGGAGAACACAGGGCACGGCGCTGAAGCGCCGGCTGACAAGAATTACGCAGCAGCTGGTAGCCAAGCAGGAACTGTTTTATTATGTACAATGCCGCGCATAAATACTTTACATGAAACGAATGTGGCAACCATGAAATTGAAACCGGAACACCACATTTTCTAGTCCTTAAAGTTTCTGCTTTTTTCAGATCATATCTGAATTTCTCAATCTTCATCGTACTGACTGAACTTTGGATATTCAAAAAATATAACTGGGGGTCCCTCCAATACTTTGGGTTTCGTGACCCTTTTAGACACGAATAGTGATGCACAGTCTGCAACTGTCGGACTTGTGCAGCATAATTCCAGTGCGTTAAGTCATCATCATCATCATCAGCCTGACTACGTCCACTGCAGGACAAAGGCCTCTCCCATGTTCCGCCAGTTAACCTGGTCCTGTGCTTGCTTTAAGTATTATATTCTAAAAAATGAAAGTGAGGAAGAATGCATTGTTCTGTGCACTGTTCACTAACTGAGCATTTAATTATCCGGCATTGCCTGATGTTCCATTTGTTAGAAAGAGATGCTCATTGTAGGGTTAGATGCCTCGCTCTGTCTTTCTGTAATTATTGTCCGGCTTTCTTGCACTTTCTTTCTCCAAAACTCTGCATTGACCGCTTCCTTATAAAGAAAGCTGTCATGCCGGAAGTGCTTGTTGATAGTGCAAGGAAAGCATCGCAGGATGGCTAATATTCCTGCGGGACAAAAAGATTTCATTTTTGTTGCACGATTTCATTTTTGTTGTATTTATTTGATGCAAGTGATCCAATGTGCCATGGCCACTAGTCCAAAGAACTGCCATCACAGAGTTGACTGATCACTTTTTCAGCTGCAACAGCTCGAGCAGCTGCAAGCAGAGTTGCAGGCCGAGCGCACCAGAACTTCCCAGCTGACGGCCCAAGTCTCACAGCTGGAGTCTGCCCTCAGGTTGGTTGTGTGTGCACGGCCTTTGCAGAATAGTTTGTGTCGGGTTCGTGGGTAGCGTTGCTTCTGTGGTACACAACACTTTGAATAAAGCAACTGCAAGTGTTCTCCTGTTTATTGTCCAATTGGAGCACATCTGGTAGTCGTGGCAATGGACCATAATAAAATGTGACAACTGTCGTCAGGCTTGCCACTGACTTTTCAGTGAAGTTCATAAATGACGATGGAAATGTTGCCAAAGTCGCCATTTTTCTTCAAATTTCGCCTAAAACGTTGCCACTCAACATATTGTTACGTGAGTAACGAGACAAAGTATTGCGAATATATTCGAAAAATATATTTGCAAGAGCGGTTGCAGCACTGGCCAGTCTGGCCCCGAGCTCGAGCAGCCAGCGAGCCTCATCTTCCTCGTCGGGCGCACACGCGCATTCGCACTATGGTTTGTGGCAGCCTACAGGTAGCATAACCCCCGTCGGCAAAGGCGCCGTCTCGGCGCATCTAGATGTCAAGATCATTGGGCGAGTGGTACTGCTTCAGGCGTGCGACGTGTACGATGTCGGTGGCCCTAGGGGTGGATGAAGACGGCGAGGCAGCAGGAGTGATTTCATAAGTGACGGGAGTCACCTCACGAAGCACTCTGTAGGGCCCTGTGTACCGAGAGAGCAGCTTGTCAGACAGGCCAACGTGCCTGGTCGGAGACCACAGCAGAACCAACGAACCGGGCGAAAAGTGCACATCGCGGTGTCGTTGGTCGTACCGACGCCGTTGGTTTGCTTGGGAGGTCAGAAGGCGAGCACGAGCGGTTTCGCGTGCGTGGGCGGCCCGGCTGATGGCGTCCAGAGCATATTGTGAAGTTGGAGCTGCTGGTAACGGAATCGTCGTATCGAGGGGTAATGTGGGTTCGCGGCCGAACAGCAAGAAAAAAGGGGAGTAACCAGCCGTGTCGTGGCGCGAAGAATTGTAGGCAAATGTCACGTATGGTAAAGCGATGTCCCAGTCAGAGTGATCTGAGGAAACGTACTTTGCAAGCATGTCAGTTAGGGTTCGGTTCAGGCGTTCTGTGAGGCCATTTGTTTGCGGATGGTACGACGTAGTGAGCTTGTGGCGTGTTGCACAAGAGCGTAGGATGTCCGCTATGACTTTCGATAGAAATGTGCGGCCTCGGTCCGTGAGCAGCTGGCGTGGAGCACCATGTTGCAAGATCACGTCGTGTAGAAGAAAATCGGCGACGTCAGTGGCGCAACTTGTTGGAAGGGCGCGTGTGATTGCGTAGCGTGTGGCGTAGTCTGTGGCCACAGCTATCCACCTGTTGCCAGCAGAAGACAGAGGAAAAGGGCCGAGTAAGTCCAAGCCGACGCGAAAGAAAGGTTCCGTAGAAATATCGAGTGGTTGAAGGCGCCCAGACGGAAGCGTCGATGGTGTTTTGCGGCGCTGACATTCCTCACACGCCGCGACGTATCTTCTGACGGACCGTGCCAGACCTGGCCAATAGAAGCGACGGCGAATCCGGTCGTATGTGCGGGACACACCCAGGTGACCGGCAGTAGGAACGTCATGAAGTTCGTGGAGTACAGCCAAGCGGAGGTGTTTGGGTATGGCAAGCAGCAGAGATGGGCCGTCTGGATGGAAGTTATGCCGGTATAATGTGCCATTCTGGAGTACGAACGAGCGATAGGATCGGTTCGATGGGGAGGAGTCGAGGCGCTCAATGATAGCTCGTAGGGCTGCATCACGGCGTTGCTCGTCGGCTATGTGGTTCAGTTGAGAAACGGAGCACACGCAGGCGTCGTTGTCAGGTATGGTGGCCGATGGGTCAACTGGATAGCGAGAAAGGCAATCGGCGTCCTGGTGCAGGCGTCCAGACTTGTATATCACAGAAAAGGTGTATTCTTGCAGTCGCAGAGCCCAGCGACCAAGTCGACCTGTAGGATCTCTTAAGGATGAAAGCCAGCAGAGCGCGTGGTGGTCGGTGACGACGGAAAAGTGAGTGCCATATAAATATGGACGGAATTTTGAGACCGCCCAGACAAGAGCAAGGCATTCTCGCTCCGTGATCGAATAGTTACGCTCTGCAGGTGTAAGGAGGCGGCTAGCATACGCGATAACGCGGTCGTGTCCCTGTTGGCATTGGGCGAGAACGGCTCCGATACCGTGACCACTGGCATCAGTTCGGACCTCAGTTCGGGCAGATGGGTCAAAGTGGGCGAGGATAGGGGGCGTCGTCAAAAGTGTTATGAGGTGAGAGAAGGCGGCAGCTTGAGTGGACCCCCACGAAAATGGAACGCCTTTCTTCAAAAGGTCGGTAAGTGGTTGGGCGATTGCCGCAAAATCTTTCACGAACCGCCTAAAGTAGGAGCAAAGTCCCACAAAGCTCCGGACATCTTTGGCGGATTGGGGTACTGGGAAACTCGTGACGGCACGAATTTTCTCAGGGTCCGGTCTCACACCAGAAGCATCGACAAGGTGGCCCAGCACGGTAATCTGTCGGCGGCCGAAGTGACACTTCGAGGAGTTCAACTGGAGGCCAGCTTTGCGGAAGACGTCGAGAATGGCCGACAGACGCTCAAGGTGGGTCTCAAACGTAGGTGCAAATACGAGGACGTCGTCTAGGTAACACAGGCATGTTGACCATTTGAACCCGTGTAGCAGAGAGTCCATCATACGTTCGAACGTGGCGGGGGCATTGCATAGACCGAAGGGCATAACCTTGAATTGGTATAGGCCATCTGGAGTGATGAAGGCGGTCTTTTCTTGGTCTTTCTCGTCTACGGCAATCTGCCAATAACCAGAACGAAGGTCGATGGATGAAAAGTAGCGTGCGCCGTGGAGACAATCGAGGGCGTCATCAATACGTGGTAAAGGATACACGTCCTTTTTGGTGATTCGATTTAGATGCCGGTAATCGATGCAAAAACGCCATGTGTTGTCCTTCTTTTTAACCAGGACGACGGGTGACGCCCATGGGCTTGATGAGGGCTCAATAATGCCTTTAGTTAACATCTTATTCACTTCAGCTTGAATAATCTGGCGCTCCGACGCGGACACGCGATACGGTCGACGGTGAATGGGAGCAGCATCACCGGTGTTGATGCGGTGCTTTACAAGAGAAGTTTGGCCGAGTGGGCGGTCGTCAAGGTCGAAGATGTCACGGTAGGAAGCTAGAAGGCGTGCGAGAGCGGCTGATTGCGCTGGGGGAAGGTCAGGGTCGATCATGGGACGTATTGACATGTCGAGGCATGTGGCATCGAGTGGGCGACAAGGAAAATTGGGGCATGCGTCGGCTGCGAAAGTGGTGACGTGATCATCGGCTAAGGACCGCAACGTGGCAATTAGGATGCCTTCAGGGAGGACTTGCTTTGTGAAGCCGAAATTTATGACGGGTAGACGGGTCCGGTTGGAGGCTACAGTTACGATGCAGTGAGGGACGGTGACGTCACGTGCCAGTAGGACATCAGGAATCGGCGTGACGATGTAATTCCCATCCAATACGGGTGAGGTCGTGGCAAATTCGGTGAATGTGAGGGCTTTAGGCGGTAAGCGGAGGAAGTCTGTGGCAGAAAGGCCGTGTTGAGGTTCAGGGTGAATATCCGGCTGAAGAGGAAGGTCTAAGCAAAGAGTACCAGCGGAACAGTCGATGAGAGCAGAATGGGTCGACAGGAAGTCCATCCCTAAGATGAGGTCATGAGGACAGTTCTGGAGCACCGTGAATAGAACAGGGATGTAACGGTCGGCGATGCGTATGCGAGCCGTACACATGCCAATGACAGGAACAGTGCCGCCATCGGCCACACGTACAGCTTCGGTAGCAGGGGGCGTGAGTACTTTTCTTAAGCGGCGACAAAGATGAACGCTGATTATGGACACATGAGCGCCAGTATCGACTAGTGCCGACAGAGAAATACCGTCCACGTGTACATCGACAAGATTTTTGTTCGTATGAAGCGTCAATGGAGGGTTTGGTTCAGACAGGGATGATGCAGCACTACCTCCAGGGGCTGCACTGTCTAGTTTTCCGTCGGGTACGATGAAAAGTTAGGCGGCGAGTGATGGCGGCGTGGCTGGGGCGACGGGGAACGACGGCGTTGAGGGGACGGAGAACGAGCAGGAAGGCGGCTGTTAGACGTGTCGAAAGCAGGGGCGGTACGGCTGGACGAATACCGGCGAAGATCTTCATATGGGCTATAAGGTGCGAAAAACTGGCTCCTATGTGGCGGCGTCCAGGAGGCACGGCAGTAGCGGGAGACATGTCCAACGCGGTGGCACCGGAAGCAGATCGGTTTGTCGTCAGGAGTTCGCCATTCCGCCGGGTTGCGAGATCGTGGAGCAACAAATGGGTCACGTCGAGGTGCATTAGTGGGAATTGGTCTGGAGGAGGGGCAAGAGATGGGGCAAGCATCAGGGAACCCGCGGTTGGCGAATTCTTGTCGTACGACCGCCTGAATAACGGAGATCGCGGGGGTTGTCGGTATCGTATGTTCGAAAGAAGTGGGCTGAAGCGGCGCTGGACTTGCTGCTTCAAGTTCCCGTCGAACGATACGCGTTACACTCTGCTCAAAGGGCGGTGTGACGGTAGAATCGGAGCAGGTGGACGTAGCCGCCGTGTTTGGCAACCGAGAAAAATGAGGGCGCACCCGACGGCTTTTTGTTGTTTCGAAACGGCGGCATTCTTGAATTACACGGTCGATGGTCGAGACGTTAGTGTACACCAGCAAATTGAAGGCGTCGTCCGCGATCCCCTTCAAAACGTGTCCAACCTTTTCAGCCTCAGACATCGCCTCGTCCACTTTTCGGCAAAGAGCGAGAACTTCTTGGATGTATGACACATACGATTCAGTTGGCGACTGGACACGGGTAGCCAGCTCCTGTCGTGCAGCTGCGTGGCGACCGGTCGGGTCCCCAAAGATGTCACGTAGCTTCTCCTTGAACGTGTCCCAGCTGGTGAGTTCGGACTCATTTGTCTCGTACCAGACACGCGGGGTTCCGTCCAAGTAGAAGAGAACATT